GCAGACCCCCACCATAATATCACTAATACTTCTTACTCCTTTTATTTTTATCCAGAGACACTCAGCTGGACTTCTGTGCTCAGATTCACGTATTTCCTCACAAGTGTATACCTCCTTTACATATAATGTGACTCCTCCGCCCTTTGATATTTATCTGTCTTTTTTAAATAAATTGTACCCCTCAATCCTAATATCCCAATTGTGTCATCCCACCAAGTTCAGTAACAGCAGTGAAATATTTGTGTAGATTTACATTGCTGAATAAAGTATGCTAAATAGTTCAGCAGATGCATTTAAGGAAAGACAAATAATAAAACACACACCACTCCAGCATCAGCTCCCTCACCTGCCCCTTCTCAGAGCCCAGCTGGCTGTGGTCTGATTCTGGGAGTACAGCAGTGAAATATTTGTGTAGATTTACATTGCTGAATAAAGTATGCTAAATAGTTCAGCAGATGCATTTAAGGAAAGACAAATAATAAAACACACACCACTCCAGCATCAGCTCCCTCACCTGCCCCTTCTCAGAGCCCAGCTGGCTGTGGTCTGATTCTGGGAGGAGGAGCCTTATACAGTTAAAGGCTCAGCCAGCAGAGGGCGGAGCCAGCAGTCAGCCCCAGGCAAAACTGCTAAAAGCTACGATTTTGTATCACCAATTTGCAGATCACACCCAGCTCTTTCTGCTCTTGGACAGCTACTTGGATACTTCCCCATAATATCTGGCTGGGGGTTTGGAGACTGTGGCAGGATGGTTAAGGAAGAGCAGGCAGAGACTGAATCTGGGGAAGACAGAGGTTCTGTGGCTTGGGGGGAGGGGCTTCGGGGTTGGGGTTCAGGCTGCTGGCTCTTGATGGGACTTTGTTGATACCAGCATACTCCATCAGGAGTCTGGGTGTGACTTTGGACGCCTCCCTGACCATGGAGGTGCAGGTCACAAATACTGCCATATTGGCATTTTATCATCTACGCCTTCCTGAGCTGCTCTTGGACCAGATAGCAGCCCTGCATGGGCCGGATCTGGCCCACTGGCCGTTTCTTTGACACCCATGCTCTAGGCTGATCCTGCATGAGCAGGGGGATTGGACCAGATGGCCTGTATGGCCCCTTCCAACTCTATGATTCTATGATTCAGTGGCTGAGTTTTGGAGAAAAGATCTGGCCAAGGAATTACACACCCTTTCATGGGCAGGGCATGACTGGTGGCTTGGCTTCTTGCTTGGGTGCTGATGGAAACTCTTTCTTTATTTCAGCAGCAGATGTAGTGGGATTCTCCTTGGAAAATGCCAGGAATGAAGATGCTGAAAGAAACTTCAGAGATGGAGACGGACCACAGAGGCAGGAGGAAAGCCATGCAGGTAACAGGAGGGATAAGCCCATTCCTTGCCAAGGAGGGGGTTTGACAAAGGTCAATCAAAAAAAAGAAGAAATAAAAAATTCCTGTGCGCAGACCAGAAAACCCAGTCCTGGGAAAAAGGGAAATGAAACTGCGGCCCTTGCAAAGACCTTCAGTCAGAGAATGATCGTCATTTCACAGAGACCAATTCCCTTAGGAGAGAAATTGTATAATTGCTTATAGTGCAGAAAGAGCTTCAGTGGGAACAGTCCTTACTTCATGAGGCAGAAAGGCCCTTCTGTGACCTGCAGGTCCTGTTTCACCCTGCCCTATGAGGTTTTCCCAACACCTGGAGTGACTTCTTTTCTGTCCTTCAGGTTAACCACCTCCAGCCCCTGACCTTAGTAAGAATTGCTCACTGAGAGGGTCACGACTCCCAGCTTCCATTCCAAGTTCTGAAGCCTTGTCTCTGCATTTCCCACTACCCAGCACCTGGTCACCAGAGGGACAGCTTGCTGCCTTGTGCACCTCTTGGGTTCCTTTTCAAATTGCATGTCCAAGACAGTGGAGGCCTATGTGGTACAGCAAACCACTACCAGGATCAAAAGTTATAAAGTATTTCTTAACAGGACAATCTTTATAAGCATACTCTTAGCACAGCACCAGATTGAACAAGGGATTCAAAATAAATTGATAAAATGAAAATCCTCAGTATGTCCCTCTCTACCTGCCCTATCAGTTGTTAAATATAAATCAGGCTCCTTAGCTTAGAAAGTTCTAGATTTTTACAGGAGTTCCATTAACTTCAGGCCTCTTCCCCAACTGTAGGCCACAGCACATGGCAATGGCTGCCTCCTCCAGACTGTACTCAAGAGCTCTTTCTTCCTTAATGGAATGAGCAAAAAAGAGCCCCACCTCCTTTCTCCCAGGATTCTGATCATCTCTCTTTCCCCTCCCACTCATTAGGTCAGGCTCAGTCAAAGAAGCTTTTCCTGAAGTCTCCAGGAGCTTTTTCCTGAATCCTTTCTAGTCTTTTATTCCTCCAGATCTGTGTTCCCAACTTGGAGGTGGGGGGAGAGGACTAGCCCCTTGTTTCTTGCCTGCTCTCTGTCCAGAGAGGAAAAACTTTTAAACTCAGAAAGAAGGTCTTACTCTGTTCAAACCTCCATCCCAAGATGCATTTTTTTCACACTCCACATCTAAGAAGTCACACAGGTGGGGAGCCATATAATGGTCAGAGTCCCAAACAAGCATCTCCAGCGCAGGAGGCTTAATGTACTTTGAAAGTGTATACTATTGTACACTTTAATGTACAGCAGGAAGAAGCCACAGAAATATATGGAGTGTGGATGGAAATTCAGGTGCAAACTAGATCTTGCATGAGTTCTAAAAGGATCTCTCTCTTTATTCCAACAGGGGATGACCAGTGGAACAAGGAGGATGAGGAACTGTATCCTCTATCACCTGATGAAATCCAGAATAAAGGCGTGAGGGGAAACTTCAGGAATCAAGGGAGACCTAAGAGGCAGAAAGGCAGCCATTCAGTCAAGACAAGGTGTAAAGCCATACCTTTCCAAGAGGGGGATTTCCAAGAAGTCATTCACATGGTGGAGGAAACAGACAAAGGCTTGGACTGCGGAAGGAATGTCTCAGATCAAACCCAATATAATGTCCATTTACGAATGCACAGAGAAAAGAAAACCCATCAATGCCTGGAGAGTGGGAAGACCATGATTCTCAGAGCAGAGCTCCCTAAATGTCAAAGGACACATACAAGAGAGAAACATTATAGGTGCTCAGACTGTGGCAAGAGCTTTTCAGAGAAATCAGACCTTGTTCAGCACCAAAGGATTCACTCTGGAGAGAAGCAGTTTATCTGCTCAGAGACTGGAATGGCATTCTCTGAAGAAAGAAAGCGTAACGTACGCTTCCCAAAACCCATTATAATGAAGGCACATAAATGCTTTCAGTGTGGAAACTCCTTCAGAAACAGATCACAACTCATTGTGCACCAAAAGATGCACATAGGGGAGAAACTATTTGAATGCTCAGAGTGTGGGAAGAGATTCAGTCGGAGTGGCAGTCTTCAAGACCATCAACGAACCCACACGGGAGAGAAACCTTTTGAATGCTCAGAGTGTGGGAAGAGATTTGGTTGGAGTGGCAATCTTCAAAACCATCGACGAACCCACACAGGGGAGAAGCCCTTCGAATGCTCAGAGTGTGGGAAGAGATTCAGTCGGAGTGGCGGTCTTCAAAAACATCGACGAACCCACACAGGGGAGAAGCCCTTCGAATGCTCAGAGTGTGGGAAGAGATTCCATTGGAGTGATACTCTTCAAGAGCATCAGCGAACCCACACAGGGGAGAAGCCATTTGAATGCTCAGACTGTGGGAAGAGATTCAGTTGGAGATGCACTTTTCGTCATCATCGACAAAACCACACAGGGGAGAAGCTTTTTGAATGCTCAGACTGTGGAAAGAGATTCAGGTGGAGATGCACTCTTCAGCAGCATCAACGAACCCACACAGGGGAGAATCCCTTTGAATGCTCAGAGTGTGGGAAGAGATTCAGTGAGAGTGGCCATTTTCAAGAGCATCAAAGAACCCATACAGGGGAGAAGCCTTTTGAATGCTCAGAGTGTGGGAAGAGATTCAGTCACAATAGCACTCTTCAACAGCATCTAAGAAACCACACAGGGGAGAAACCTTTTGAATGCTCAGAGTGTGGGAAGAGATTTAGTAGGAGTTCCTATTTTCAAGAGCATCAAAGAACCCACACAGGGGAGAAGCCTTTTGAATGCTCTTTGTGTGGGAGGACATTCATTCAGAGTAGCCATTTACAACAGCATCTAAGAACCCATACAAGGGAGAAGCCATTTGAATGCTCAGAGTGTGGGAAGAGGTTCAGTCGGAGGGCCAGTCTTCAACAGCATCAACAAACCCACACAGGGGAGAAGCCCTTTGAATGCTCAGAGTGTGGGAAGAGATTCTGTCACAATGGCACTCTTCAACAGCATCTAAGAAACCATAGAGCAGAGAAGCTTTTTAAATGTTCAGAGTGTGGGAAGAGATTCCATAACAGTGGCAATCTTCAACAGCATCAACGAACCCACACAGGGGAGAAGCCCTTTGAATGCTCAGAGTGTGGGAAGAGATTCAGTCGGAGTGGGTCTCTTCAACAGCATCAACAAACTCACACAGGGGAGAAGCCGTTTGAATGCTCAGAGTGTGGGGCAAGATTCCTTCGGAAGGGCACTCTTCAACAGCATCAACGAACCCACACAGGGGAGAAGCCCTTTGAATGCTCAGAGTGTGGGAAGATGTTCAGTCGGAGTGCCACTCTTCAACAGCATCAAAGAACCCACACAGGAGAGAAGCCCTTTGAATGTTCTGAGTGTGGGAAGAGATTTAGTTGGAGTGGCACTCTTCAAAAGCATCAACGTACCCACACGAAGAGAAGCCCTTTGAATGCTCAGAGTGTGGGAAGACATTCAGTCAAAGTGGCACTCTTCAAGAGCATCAACGAAACTCACACAGGGGAATAGACCTTTGAATGTTTAGAGTGTATGAAGAGATTCAGTCAGAGTGGTGCTCTTCAACAACGTCAATAAACCTACACAGAAGCCTTTTGAATACTCAGAATGTGGGAAGCGATTCAGTTGGAATGGCACTCTTCCACAAAATCAAAGAATCCATACAGAGGAGAAACCCTTTTGAATGTGGGAAGAGATTCCGTCACAATGGCACTCTTCATCTAAGAAACCATAGATGGAACAAGCTTTTTAAATGGTCAGAGTGTGGGAAGAGATTCAGTCACAGGGGCAGTCTTCTACAGCATCAATAAATTCACACAAGGGAGAAGCCCTTTGAATGTTCTGAGTGTGTGAAGAGATTATGTTGGGACTCTTCAACAGCATCAACAAACCCACACAGAGGAGAAGCCATTTGAATGCTGAGAGTGTGGCAAGATGTTCAGTTGGAGTGCCACTCTTCAAGAGCATCAAAGAACCCACACAAGGGAGAAACCCTTTGAATGTTCTGTGGGAAGAGATTCAGTTGCTGCGGTTCTCTTCAAAAGCATCAGCTAACCCACACAGAGAGAAGCCCTTTGAATGTTCTGAGTGTGGGAAGGGATTTATTTGGAGTGGCACTCTTCAAAATCATCAACGAACCCGCAGGAGGAGAAGCCCTTTGAATGCTCAGCGTGTAGGAAGACATTCAGTCAAAGTGGTGCTCTTCAACAGCATCAACAAACCCACACAGGAGAAAAGACCTTTGAATGTTTAGAGTGTATGAAGAGATTTAGTCAGAGTGGTGCTCTTCAGCAGCATCAACAAACCCACACAGGAGAATCCTTTTGAATTTTCAGAATGTTGGAAGCAATTCAGTTAGAGTGGCATTGTTCCTCAGCATGAATGAACCCATACAGGGGAAAGCCCTTTTGAATGCTCAGGGTGTGGTTAGAGATTCAGTTACAATGGCACTCTTCAACAGCATCTAAGAAACCATACAGGGGAGAAGCTTTTTTTATTCAAAGATAAGTGAAATATACAGAAGAAACCAGGAAGCATAAACATTACTGCATTCAACACTATTACAATGAAGTGTAAACATATACACCTAAAACATTTCAATAACTCTATATAGCTCAATGAACTACACCTGACTTAAGCCTTATACCCTTTGTTATGGTCCCTAGAGATTCAGTCGGAGTGGGACTCTTCAGCAGCATTAACAAACCTATATGGGGAGAAGCCCTCTGAACGTTCTGAGTGTTGGAGCAATTCAATTAGAGTGGCAGTCTTCAACAGCTTCTAAGAACCCATACAGTGGAGAAGTCTTTTTTAAAATATACAGGGGAGAAATCTTTTTTTAAATATATTTTTTATTTTAAATTTTATATAGGGTACAGAAAAAGATAAAAGGTGTGAGGGGGGAAATAAATAAATGTAAAGCACTTTTTTTTTTACAAATATTCAAGACAATACAGACATAAATGAATTAATAAATCTAGGTAAATAATTATAACATTACCAATAATGCTGTTTCTCTAAAATACTTTATCCACTATTCCCAATTTGAAAAAACACTATGAAATAAATTGTGTGAACAAATATTTTATATCAACTTAAAATTGACAGAAAGCCATTTAAAATGATATATAACAACAAGGAAGTAACAAATATAAAACATTTCAAATAACTGATAAAAATCATATGACTATGAGGAAATGGTAACCATTGATTAACTGAATAATCAAAACATAATTTTGTATTGCTCTTACAACTCTTTTTATAATAGGTGAAAAAACCTCTCAATTTATTCCCAAATTCACTACTTGGTCTGTTATTTATATGATTCATCAATTTTGCCATAACAGCATATTCTTCCATCTTATTTTTCCATTCTTCAAGATCTGAGCAGAACTCCATTTTCCATTTAGTTGCAAACACTACTCATGCCACTCTTAACATATATAGAAATAGTTCATGTATTGCTCTTTCAGTATTCATGGGTAGAATTCCCAATAGCATAGTCTCTGGTCTATATGACTGAGGTAACGTTGGGTCATTCCCTTACTTTTTTATTTTTATTTTTTTTATTAAATATAAAAAACAGGGTTTTTTGCCAAATTATCTTGGAATCTTTCCAGCCATTCCGGGGTATCAGGATCCTCTCCTCCATCAGTTTTTTCCCTTCTTTCTTTAGTTCTTGTCAGTGTCATGCTGTACCTATATTTTCTGTACAAGCTTTTCATTTACGTGTTACATCAATATTTGTGTTAGGTTTTTTTTTTACTATTATAACAATTATAGAACACTTCAATTTGACCTTGAACTATAAGTATATGACCTTAAACATGATTGAACACTGTTTTGAGTAAATCAATGCATAATGATTATCTTTACCTGATATACCATATAAATTTTTAAATCATATACTTTCATAACAATAAAAATATAGACAGAGAGATTGTGTTAAAAGAGAGAAGCCTGAAATATTTAAAATGGTGGAGCAAGATAGAAGATAATATGTTATGGTTGATCTGTTAGTTTTAGTAAGTTAATATTTATGAGTTTTCACTTGTCAGAACTATTTCACATAAAAAGTAAGCAATGTTAAACTTTTTTTTTTAAGCCCCCGGAGGGGATTTTTTATTGATTTTTTAAACACTACAAAAACTAGAACAGAAAAAAGGGAAAGGGAAAGCTACATATAAGGGAGAAAGTAAAGAACCCACTACTAACTAAAAACCCAAGAGAGGAGATCTCCAACTAGCTTTTTATACTTCATTCAGACTTCATCTTTGTACTTCTTATGAACTGTGTCAATCTTTTAACCCTTTTAACCATCCCGTTACATTTAATTGCCCAATAACAGTGCCCCCCATCATCCCCTAGAACCAAAGTTCTCAAAGGCACAATTCAGAGTCCTTCAGCCTTTACTTCTTCTTCTTCTCTCTCTTCCGCAGTTTGTAGGACCTTTTCGGGGCTGATGCCCCCTAAAAGTAAGCAATGTTAAACTTATTAATGTTGTTAAAGATAATAAGTTCTTGTCTTTGCCTTTGTTTGGAAAAGTCCTCAGTCAACAGCAAACCCTGAGTCCAGTATACATAGTCTTTGCTTTTAAAAGGCCTCCAGCTATCTGAGTTCTCCAATGCAATACAGGATACGTGAATAAACAGCAAAATTCGACCTTCATTATAATTCCAGGGTGTTAAGTTCCATGAGGTGGCAGTAGAGCCTATGACAAAAAGCACATCTGGAATTCGCCCTCCTAAAAAAAAAGCCGAAGTCTCCCCCAGAAGTCAAAACAAAATATCAGCCTTGAGCCTGGAAAGGAAGGATGGGAAGTTCAAACAAGTGTCTCAGTCTCACTGGGTCTTTTATCAGAGAGTATATAAGCATCAGCCAAGTCATAAGATATGTTTTATCTTCCAAATAATGGTAGAAGCAGTAATAAATCTTATGTCATGGAGTCCAATTATATTGCTCTCATGAGTTCAAAGAGTCCAATTACATTAGTTCAGGGAGTTGTTCCGTTATCCAGTTAATCCAAATAATAATCTCTGTCCGTCCAGGCAGCAGCCAGGAAATACACAGTCTCATAGAATCTCTTTACTCTTCCCAATGTTTGTTTTTTAAAGGAGTAAAAAAGATTTTATTAAAAAGTGCCAAAGTATATTCTAATAAACTTGAATAAATCAGGGAGGAAAGGAGGGAAGGAAAGAGAAAAGGGAAAAAAGATGAGCAGTCTAGTTTGGATTAGAGAGTGGGTCACTCTCGAAGATACAAGATTGTTGCAAATCGAAGGACATGATTTGTTACTTGGATGGAATGCCTTTTTATGGTATGAGAAAGCAAATTCCCATAAGTACTTTAAACAGCATTGGTTGAGAGCCTCTTTACTTAAAGTTTGGGACGGAATCCATAAACATTTTTATACTAGAAGATCGAGACTAATAACACCATTAGAGGCCTTTATGCTGACAAATGCTTATACAGGAGAAGAAACATTGAGGTATCAGGACATTTTGGACAGTAAGGATAATCTTAAACTACCGGAACATTTGTCCTGGTGGCAAAAAGCACAGCTGGAATCAATATATCTGAAGTACAAAAAAGTGGGATTTAATTGTAAAATAACCGAATTGGAAAATGTTATGTTAACAGCAGACAGTAAAATGATAAAGAAAATATATAAAATTTTGTTGGATGATACAATGGTAGATGAAATTGTGAAGAATAATATGATTGCATGGGCTCAGAATTTAGGGCATACTATAAATCTGGAAGATTGGGGGCAGATTTGGGAGAAAAATATTAAAATGACCAATGCTATAACATATAAAGAGAATATGTATAAGATGTTTTATAGATGGTATATTACACCTGATAGATTGGCTAAGCAAAATACTAACTGTTCTGATAAATGCTGGAAATGTAAGAGTAAAAGGGGCACATTTTATCATATGTGGTGGCTATGTGATGTAGATTATAAAAGAAAAATTAATAAAAGTGTACCCATGGGTACTTAAAAAAAAAAATAACTCACTTGCTCGATGTTATCTCATTCAAAACAGGATCTGGAAAGCCAGCTCCGACTATCGCTGGCCTCAGATCAGAGGAGAGGGAGGGAGATTTCTCCCGCTGACATTTTCAAACACCCCTAGGGAGTTCCGATCAGTGGAGCTAAAACAGAAGCTGTCAAGAAGCCACTGCCCAGAAATCAGGGGAGAAGCCTTTTGAATGCAAGAGATTCAGTTACAGTAGCACTCTTAGAAAACGTCTAAGATCTCACACAGGCGTGTGTGCAAAGAGATTCAGTCAGAGTGACACTCTTCAACACCATAAAAAAACCCACTAGAAGTGTGGGGGGGGAAATATCATTTTTCCACATTTGGGTCAGTTGGGCCTGAAAAACAGTGGCATTCCAGAATATTCCCGAATCCCAATATTGAATTTATTCGGCTCTGTTATATCCTATGGGGACCATCTCTGTAGGGTATAATGGAGAATTTCACTCATCGACATCAGGAAGATACTGTTATTTCTTGATAAATTTATTTATTTTTATTTATTTATTATTAAATTTATACCCCACCCTCCCCCGTAGGGCTCAGGGCGGCTTACATGGCAAGAGAACTTGCTAATAAAAACATCAAATAATGTAGTACATTTAAAACAAAATATACAATTTAAAACCCATTCAAACATTAAAGTGCTCTAACTACATC